TCTCAATTAGTTTTGTACATACAAGATTTGTTGAATGGAAGAGAGAGGTTGGGTACCATGTTCACTTCTGATGTCTCATGCACAGCCAGCTATTATGCACTCCAAGCCTCACTCTTGATCCTGCAGCAGTGATTGCATTCCTACTTTTGCAGCTTTCTATCCAACAGTTTCTCCAGTGTCTACTGAATTCAGCAGCTCTTCACTCACTAATGGGTTACCACTTTTCTTGCGAAACAAGAAATAAAGACCTCTTCTCCTTATGTAATAAAAACATCTAAAATATATTAGGTAAAAACTTGAATACTCACAAGTATAAAATCATAAAATGCATTTAGGGGGCAGAGATCCACTGGGAATCACCATCTGAGGCTGACACCCAAAAATAAACTCCATGCAGTAGTACTCCCCTCCCTCAATAGAGTTTGGCTTACACCATCCTCCAAATGTGATTCATCAGGGAAGTGGGGATTCCCAAAACTATAGGCTACTCTTTCTTGTTAACAACTCCATTAATAAATGCTTTTTTAGGAATATTTCTTACTTTTCATGTTTTCTGCTCTTAGGGCTCTTCTTTTAATTTGACATATGTTTTTTAACAACTAATTGCCCCTATACAATATCTCCATCTATATATATTTATTTCTGTCCATAATGACTATTCCCCCTCCTTTGTCCGCAGGTATAATTACACTTTCCTTATCTTAATGCAGTTTCCCCCACTATCCTAGTCAAATTATTTTGTTGTATCCTTCCTCCCTCCAGATGATTTAAATCATCCAGAACGTCTTTCTTAAATGTGTTAATGAAATCCCCAATGTTATCTAGGTTAAAATGACTCTTCGGTTTCAAATTGGTATATCTATTCATTTGTCCCCAGTTATTATTATTAGCTGTAATAGGATTTTGTTAGGCTATATTTCTTCAAGGTTAGCTTACAAATGAATTTATAGATACCCACAAAGGGGTTAAATGTATTCAGCTGCTTCATAGGGGCAAATCTTTTTGTAGGATTGCGATTTCTTCCTTACTAAAGAATCCCTTATTTAAAATATATCTATGTTGCATGCTACGTTTTTGCTATGGAGAGGTTCTAATTGGCTCGTCCTCTCTTCCTGTATACCTTGATTTTTTTTTCTGCTCTATTTTCTCTCCTTGGATTCATTTCTGTTTGTACTATTCCCTCTTTTTACCTCCCCTTGTTCTCTTGTTCATGTTTGTAATGTTTCTCAATTGTGGAATTTCATGCCACCCTCTCCAATCTAAAAAATTCCATTGGTTGGGGGTACTCCTCTTATCTACTGTATAATATTGTAGGGGTAATAATCCATTCCTGGAACCTTTCCCATTGCTAACATAATTTTCCATTCGAACTTACAGGCACATATCTCTCTTTTTTCTATTGTCCTTCTATTGTGATACATTTTATTGTTCCTTTTGCCCTTCTTTTTTGTAGTGAGCTGAGACTGTCTTCCTATTGGGCCCTTTGGCTATGTCTATACTCTGCTTTTATGAAACTTAAAAAAATGTTATTCCTAAAATAAAATGTATATTGATGTTTTGAAAAATATCTACCAAAGCACTAAATTAGCATGATTTGAAACAAAATTTCTGTTTTGCGAGCTGTTGATAACTTTCAAAACAACCTCTCATTTAAATGTGAGGTAGACTGCTGTAATAGCCAAAACAGTTACTCCATAAATCTATGAATAAAAAGAAGGCACCATAATACCAGATTCATATTTTTGTTGAGCAGATGTTTTTATCAGCATTGGAGTGCAATAATACAGTATGTATAGGAATAAATCAGTGGTATAATTTACATTTTTATGTTAATTCAACATGAAAATATTACAGTTAGCATTTGGAGTGAGTAGATTGGTTAATGGGCACTTACAGAATTAACGTTATTTTGTTTACCCAGAGGTATGCCATCCCCTGCTACACAATCTGTCATATACAGACTGCCATCACAAACAATCCCCATCACAAGTATACCGCTGCCAACTTCATTTAGTTTCACAGATCCACTTGTCTACTGTGTTCATCTGTCTCTGGTAGGCTTAGTTATTGTCATAGGCTAGTACATTCAATGGCATATGTCTTGCTTGTGAGGTATAGCTGTATTTAAACACTGCTGCTTTGCAATCTGCTAAGATTATATGATAAAGAATAAATGCTTTTGTGAAAAGAGTAAGTAAACTGATTTTTATGTTAATGCATTTTTCATCTATATCGGCTATAAGTGTGAATTTAAAAGAAATGCTTTTCTAGTTTATATACCAGCATTAAAAGCATTTTTACTACTTCTTCAAATGAATGTCAGAAATTTTCATATTAAGTGTGTGTGAGGTTTAATAACAGGTGAATGGGCATTGCAGAGCTGTCAGATTCTAAATCATGTTTAACAACTACTTATTCACCTAAATGTACTTTATATGTTCTCATATATTCAGAAAAAAACAGATTTCAGTCGCCTATTATCTTAAATCATATGTATAATGATTATGCAGTCCAAGTGCCTTGGAAAGTAAATGGGCGCCATAAGTTGAACATTTTCATTTAATTCAGGTGCCCGGGTTGCTATGGAACATGAATGGGCTTGGAGATGAGAACACACTAGTGGCACCCATCTCTTTTGTCAACCTTAAAGCTGAACTAGAGGCAATCAGCTGAAATACAAATTAAATATATTTAAAAGAGGTGTCTTACCTGTCAAATTATTTTTGCCCATAAATTAAAGTGATTCTAAAGCCTGAAGCCTTATTTACCTTAATGCATTCTCTGCATTAACCACTTCAGCTCTGGAAGATTTACCCCTCTTCCTGACCAGGCCATTTTTTCTGATACGGTGCTGCAATACTTTAACTGACAATTGCACGGTCATGCAACACTGTACCCAAATTAAGTTTATGTCCTTTTTAACCACAAATTTAGTTTTCTTTTGGTGGTATTTGATCACCTTTGCAGTTTTTACTTTTTGTGTTATAAACAAAAAAAGACCAAAAATTTTGAAAAAAAAACTACATTTTTTTCCTACTATAAAACATATGCATTTTAAAAAAAAAATTAAAAAATCTAAATTCTTCATAAATTTAGGCCAAAATGTATTCTGCTACATATTTTTGGTGAAAAAAAATCCCAGTAAGCGTATATTGATTAGTTATAGCATCTACAAATTATGAGACATTGACTGGATTTTTAATTTTTTTTTTTTATACTAGTATAAAAAGTATAATCGGCAATCAGAGACTTATAGCTGGACTGTGATATTGTGGCAGACATTTTTACACTAACTGACATTGTGTGGGAACTAATGACAATGACAATAATACAATGATCAGTAGATTGTAAGCTCGAAAGAGCAGGGCCCTCGAATCCTCGTGTATTGTATTGTTACTGTATTGTCTCATGTACTGTCCCCCCACTATAATGTACAGCGCTGAGCAAACCTTTTGGCACTATATAAACACTGTATAATAATAATAATAATAATAATAATAATAATAATAATATTATACACTGATTACTGTTCTAATGATACTGGTGGGGAAGGACTTAACATCTAGGATGGTCAAAGGGTTAAGTGTGTGCCTAGCTATGTGATTGGTGTACATTAGATGGCACTGGTACACGGGGAAGTGATGGATCATTTTCCCAGCTCTGCAGTGACACAGGATCCATCACTTTCCCCTGTCACAACAGAACTGTGCCTGTGTAAACATAGGCATAGCTCTGTTATTCCTCCATGCCTGACAATCTGCAGGTGCCAGCAAAGATCTGTTTGCCGGAACTTGCAGATTGACTTCTGCTGTGACAGTTCACAGCAGAAGTGATCCACCAATGATGCGCGCCCTTGTGAGGTGGAAGTGCAAAATCACATATATATATATATACATGGTTTTTGCACAGGAGAGCTGCCCTGTAGCAGTAAAAGTAAAGTGGGTAAGGTAGAAAATCTTTAGTATGCAGCTCCCTCCCAGCCCCCCCTTATACTTATTTGAGCCCAATTTTGATCAAGTGATGTGCACAAGAGCAGAGACTCTCTTGGCTCTCTCCTTCCTCATTGGCTCAGACACAACAGAGGGAGCAATTGGCTCCTGCTGCTGTCAATCACAGCCAATGAGGGTGGAGCCTTGTCATGCTCTCTGTGTCTATGGATGCATAGAGCCAGCTTGGGAGCGAGCCTGCACCAGGTCCCCCCATATCAAGAGGCTTGTTATGGGGGTATTCTGTGGGAGAAGGAGCCAGGAGCACCCACAGGGGACCTGAGAAGAGGAAAATCGGGACTGTTCTGTGCATCTGTGCAAAACCAAAGAGCAAGTAAGTATGACATGTTTGTTATAAACAAAAAATTAACATTTGCAATCACTTTAAAATGAGATTTACACAGCCTTGCCAGACAAGAAAACACAGGTTTTTATCTACTGTGGTTAAGGATTAATTCTAGGTCTTTCCCCTGCCTTAATTCTGTGAATGGATAGTAGTGAAGGATAACAACAGATTACAGTCTGTCCACACCGGAACTGACATCACCACGCTTCTGTCCTATGTGTTACGTCATGAGTCACGTGACTTCCTCAGGGCCTGAGGAAGTCACGTGACCCCTGACGTAATGCGTAGGACGGAAGCATGGTGACGTCAGTTCCAGCGTGGATGGCAGCCGCCATATTGCTACACCCATGCAAGTACACCCAGAGTGTTCTGTGCTAATTTTAAAGCTTGTGGGTCTGCAGACCCTTTTTATTCAATGTAAGTGCGTTTTTGGCGTGTGTTACCTTCAAAAAATTGTTAAACTTACTACACTATGGAAGTCTATTTCTCTTATCTCTTTATGGGGATCGCTAGGAAGGGGACACCACCAACAGGATTTAGACCACTCCGCTGAGCGCTTGCTTTATGTGTTTTGGCCCTTAGGGGTCGCAGCGTGGGGGTGAGTGGGCATGCTAGCTGGTGGTGGATACACTTGTTAAGTTGATCACCGTATTTGGCACCCATCAAAATTGTGCACGGAACAGGGGCGGACTGACCATTTGGAAACCTGAGCACTGCCCGAGGGCCCGGGATCAGTAGGGGGCCCCAGGAGATGCCCCTGGTACCTTTTTCATAGGCTTTTTTGAGTTTGGGCAAGGACACAGGGGCCCCATGATCCCCTATTGCCCGGGGGGCCCCATGAGTTGTCAGTCCGCCCCTGGGACGGAATCATATCATTCGAACTTTCACGGAGATATTTTAGACTCTTCACTTTTATGTTAGTTTCTTGCAGCAGATTTTATTCACTATGCCGGCTATATGTAATTTTTTAAACTTTTTTCTTTTGTTGTGATTCAATCACTTTATTGCCCATCATTTGTTTTTTTTATGCTTTTGTGATCACGTCTTTGCTGTTACATCTTCACGTTTATGGTTTTATGTCATTTCACATTCATTTGTTCACTTGTGCTATATTCACTTTCCTTTGGTTGTATCATATATATATATGAATAGTGCAGCACTTTCACGGATTTAGTTTTTCACTATTGCCCAGTTGGGTGTTTCCCCTTTTTTTCCATCCCACTTAGGAGTCTTGCTATATATGATTTCTTGACACATTCCTTGGTTTGTGTGGACTTATATTATTTTGTTGTTTTTATTATATAGGATTAGCGCAGCACATTTTTTTGTTCCCTTTTCACTATCTGGTTATATAGTTAGGTGCTAGCAGCCATTCCTGTGTCTTGGGTTTTTCCCTTTGGGGTGTAGTGGCAGAGCAGGAGGCTCTTTGTGTTTGATTTACTGAAGGCGTTCTGAGTGTTCACTCCAAAAAATATTGATTCGATTATCCAGTCAAGTGCAGAGAAAATAAATACAAAGGGATTTGCTTTTCACATGATTGGATAATTGAAGTGGCATTTAACCTAAAAGATGTAAATTATGTCCAGAGTAACCTATCTGTCTCTATTCACTAGTAACACCTTAGATGTCTGTTTACATGTGAGAAACCAAGGTACCTGCCATTGAAATTTACAGGTTTTCGCAATCTCCATACTCCATAACCATAGCAGTATTGTCAGAGAAAAACTGTAAATTATTTATACCAGTGACACATATGAATTCCAACCTGTTCATGGAACAAACACATATTTGATAGTTTTGTTTACAATAACATTATTACCAATAGAATAGGCATAGTGCATGTGTTATACGTTAAAGCTATGAATATCTTTATCATATTTTTTAAAGCATTTCCTAAATTGTGTTTTGGAAATACTCATATATAAATTAATATTTTCTTTTTTATACCTACTGTAATGTCAGTTTTTCTGCATATAGAAAAAGCACAAAAATTCCCATATCAATAATGTCAGGAAAATGTAACCTGTTTTAAGTACTGCTATCATGGTAAATTCACATTAACGCAATACTTTTTATCTCTTGCATTATTTCTGTTCTCAGATTCCACAGCAAGCAGGTTGTAAGGGCATAACTAATGAAATGCACATCAACCCAAAATATCGCAATTTGCAACTTTATAGCCTAGCTGTTCAGTGATGAGAAAGAATAAAAAATGATATTACTTCTATAAAATTTGGTATTACTTCTGGCTGTGTAAGATTATCACAAAGCTTAAGATGTAAACGCATGGAGATGACTAAACTTTACCTTAGATTATCTTTTATTCTGCCTAAAACATTTTTCTATTAACTGTTCGTAACAAGAAGTCTAACTACACCAAGCTAAAAACTGATTGATTTCTACCAGTTACATTAAAAAAAATGGTAAGGGTCTATATTGGCTGTTATTCATGTCATATGGGTTTTGCATTCCATTAAAAGTCTATGGGAAGGCAAAAGCTGTTGATGTAGGTTATGAGAAGATCTTCTGCAGGTCAAATACATCTGTTAATGAATTCTGAATGATCTCAGAAGCGTCTTGAACTGATGTCAAACTAAAACCCTTGGCACAATCCCTAGAGGGTATGGGCATGATTGCAAAGTAAAGGGGGACTCCAGAAGAGGAGACTCCAAGAGAGGAGACTACTAAGGAGAGGGACTGCAACATGCAGTAAAGCAAAACTGGCCACTGACATAAGTACCTACTGTAAAATAAACGTGATAGAAGCTGCATGGTAGCTTTTCAAAATACTTACAAATGAAGTCAAAACTTTTATATTGTGAAGCTCTTTAAAAAAGCAATAGGTATATTTTGCACAGTTATGTAAAGTGTTCTGCTAGCTCCCTTTCTGCCATCCTCTAAGATCTAAATACGTTAGAGGTGATTTAAAAAAAAAAATATTTTTTTTAACCTGTAGTGGTAATGTTACAGAAGGCATTATCATAAAAATACATTTGACAAAGAACAAGTGAAATAAAATAGTGTAGTAATACTGTCATAAGCTCATATTGTTACAATCCAACTAAATATGTTGTGTCACAAAAAATACTGTATAGGGATTCACATATCAAACCAGTGAATGCAGCTTTTTGACACTTGAACTGCATTTATGTGTCAGGGAATCAGCATTTCATTCTGGAATACTGTGTTAAGGCGCAGCAGTTTTAGACTGAGGCTTATTAGACCAGACATCTCTAGCAATAGCATAAAAGAAGCCTCTAGGAAGCAGGGTAAGATACAGAAAATGTTTATACTTTATTATGGAGGTGTGTCTGAAGAAACTAGGATATAGAATGATGGAAAATGGTGAATTAGTTCTTGTTATTATTTACTTTCAAAAATTATTATTATGTTTCTTGAGATGGAGAGTTTAGAACATTAACTAGAGAAAGAAAAAGAAAACAACTAAGTTGAGTGTCAGTAGGGGATAGACATGAATTAAAGTTTGTGCCATTAGTACAAGCTGTGCTTAACCATGAAGTGTGCCTTAGGGTGTTGGAGCCAAGAATTCCATTGGTAGTAGACATGTGCGTTTTGTTTCATTACAATTTGTTTTTCAGATGAAAATTTTGTTTTTGGAGATTTGGATATATTAGAATCTCCAAATGGACATAGTAATGAATGTCAACAAATCCAAAAAAAGTTATAAAAAAATTAACAAATACATTTGTTTCATTCAGATGACGTCACATGATACGATAGTAGTTCTGGGCAATGGAGAAATTATTGAAATTTTCATAAAAGCATTCGCTTTATAAGTCATCAATCATTCATAAAGACATTGTGAATGACTTCAGAGAGGTTAAGAGCAGTAACATATTTCTACTATCTACTTATTGCTATTTTTGCAGAAAATTAGAAGTTAAACACTATAGTTCTATAATAAGTGGTATAGAGGTCTACTCCTACAGTATGTTCAACAAGGCTAATTGTGGTAAAGGGGTTGTAAGTATACCTGTTACTTCTACTAGAACTCTGAAAAACCAGAATATTGTAATATTTTTATGTGCTTAGAAAATATGAAGAATATTCACCGCCATCAACTAGGCAGGTGGTCGTATGAAAATTTGGCTAATTGATGGGAGTCAAATACTATCATATCATAATCTTTTGGGATATTTCCTAGTGGAAGAAAAGGTTGCTTTAATGGCATGCAGCCATCATTCCATTAATAAAGTCATATTCAGCTCCTTTACCCATTTTCTAATTGGCCTTCACCTCCTTGTTGCATCACAGAAGAGGGTGTGGTAGGATGTGTGCACCACTCTGGACCACATCTCCTTCATTACAATACTACCTCCCAGCCACTTTCTATACAATCTGATTGTACTATCTCCTTTAGATCTCCCATCAGCTATGTAGTACAAAGGCCTGTCTGATTTGATACTGATTAAATGGATTGTTCAGGTGTGTCCTCCTATTCCATAGTTCTGGTAAATCTAAAGGGAATTGTACAGAGATGTATAGCCATCATTAAACAAGTACATAGAAGGGAGTGGATGGAGGCACTCAGTTGTCAGGCCCTGTTTACATCTCCATGTAGCAAGAACTCCCATTCCCCATGCATTTTTTTTAGGCATTTTGGAGTGTTTTTACTTGTCACGCAAAGGGTAGCCCATCCACTTTAATGGGATGCCCTATGCAGGACAATCTCCCCTGAGAAGCTCCAGAATTTTTTTAAAAGTGGAGCATGGTGCGTTACCACAGTTTTTGGTGCATTTTCCGCACTTGAAGTGCATTAAACATGTAATGACAATACAAACACGATGCACATTTGCAGCATGTTTCTAAAATTCATAGCAAAGTATGCATTTTCTGTGCAGATTGCCATGCGTTCAGAAGTACACAGATGTGAATGGAGCTTCATTGTTCTTGTGTAAACAAACCAATTTCACTTTAAAGCCCCATGCACACCTAGTGTAGTAAGAGTACATGCTTTTTGGCTTGTTTTTTACAGTGACACACATAGCACAACCCGTTAATTTCAATAAGCTGTGCTACATGTGATAAAATAGCTCATGGGACATTTTGGCATGATGTGGGTTGCATGTTTTTTACTGTGCGTTTTGAAGCATTTGTCACTTCTTTTTTCATGTGGCAAAATATGTGCTTGTAGCTGTGTTTGGTGTGACATTAACAATTATTGAAAAGTAAAGTGCAACTAGTTAATTTTAGGTGTATAAATGTGGCCATACACTATACAATCTGATTGTACAATCTCTGTACGGTCTCCTTTAAATTTACCAAAACTATATCATAGGAGGACATGCCATCTATCCAATCACTTTTTTTTCTTGCTTGTATTGGTATGATACAGAAAGTGGAGAAACAAAAAGCCAAATATGAGATATTACACGAAAACCCCAAAAATGGACTAACAAAATTATTGGCACCTTTCTTAAAATTGTAAGAAATAATTGCATTCCAAGTTTGTGATGCCCTTTTAATTTGTAATTAAACTCACCTATATCAATTAACAGGTGCTGACAATATAGAAATCACTCTGGCAACCTTTTAAAATGGTGCAAAATTGACTCAACCTTTCTGTAATGTGTCTCTGTGTGCCACATGGAGCATGGAGAAGAGAAAGAGCAGCAAATAATTGTCTGAGGTTTGGAATTTGCCAAAAACCTACCTGAGGAAACCAAAATCCTTTTGCTAGAATGTGCTTTCCACAGACAAAACAAAATTACAGCTTTTTGTTAAAGCCCATCATTTTACTGTTTTCAGAAAAAGAAGGCCTTTAAAGAAGAAATAGAACAAATACAGTCCCTACAGTCAAACATGGGGGCAGTTCATTGATATTTTCATGTCATCGGCATTATGAAATCTGAAGACTACCAAAGAATTCTGGGGTGCAATGTAGGGCCCAGTGTC